TTGCGTGACGCAAATTTGTTTGCTATCCTGCGAAACGCTTAAGCCTCCACTTATCGGTGCGACTTGTGATATTTTCGTCGTTCAGAATGAATAAATACTCTGGACATTTTTAGACGATTCAAGACGACAGTATTCGTAACGATGGACTGTAGGCAACATCGTTTAATTTTAAACATCTATTTGATGATACATTCAGAGAAAATTTAATTTGTCCGATGGCTTTCAGGAAGGGAGCCCGACCAACAGACCGGCACGTAGTCGTCTGCAAGCCTTTCGCGACGAACGATGTGGACTAAACGGCTTACGGAATATTGGAAATACAGTGAGTATATCTTTAATATCGTCGTTGTTCTCGTAAAATTTCCACTGCTCTACATTACATTAACGTGCACGCGATCGTTCTAGTGTTTCATGAACAGCGTGATCCAATGCCTGAGCAACACGAGACCTCTGTTAGAGTATCTGCTGAACGAACAATACCTGGCCGACATAAATACCACGACGTCCAGCATGAAAGGCGCATTGATCAAAGCGTTCAGCCAAGTGATCCACGAATTGTGGGAGGTGGGCGGTGATCACGTAGTAAACACGACCGCGCTCAAGTCTCAGATACAGAGATTCGCGCCACGTTTCATGGGTTACAGTCAACAGGATGCTCAGGAGTTTCTTAGATATTTGTTGGAGGGTCTGCATGAAGACGTCAACAGAGTTACCACAAAGCTACCACCCATACACGGAGACATACCTGACAGCTACACGTAAGGAAACTATTTATTCCCCCATGTTTAGTTTGCAACGTGTATCTACATGTGTGATATTATTTCTACAGGGATATGCAAAAAGCGGTGGAAAGTTGGAAACGATATCTTCGCAGCGAAGACAGCATGATAGTCGACGTTTTCGTCGGACAGTTACGCTCATCTTTACACTGCACATCCTGCGATCACGTATCGGTGACGCTCGATCCGTTTTGGGACTTGAGCTTACCGATACCGGCCAGGAGTGGCACGGTAAAGCTGAGCCAATGCTTGGAACATTTCACCCGAGAAGAAGTATTGGACGGCGACGAGAAACCAACATGTTCTAAATGTCAGATGAGAAGAAAGTGCACCAAGAGTTTCAGCATACAGAAATTCCCGAAAATTTTGGTTATTCGTATCCTTTTCTTGATCGATTTAATTCGTGTACAATTAGTCAAATTAAAGTTACATAATTATGTAATTATTCCAATTAATTAGTATTTGTTCCAATTAATTATTAATATAGCTTGGTATAATATTAATGCATATAGATAGTTCGAATTATAGGAAAAGATTTTTTTTTCTTAACTGCCATCCATCAGATTTGAAACGTTTCTCTCCGATGGAGCGTTTTCGCGGCAAGTTGAACGTGATGGTGGACTTTCCATTGACGGGTTTGGATCTCAGTGCCTTTGCCGCCCCGAGAGTTCCGGGCTGCACGTACAATTTGTATGGGGTCGCGAATCACTCGGGTACCACATACTCCGGTCACTACACCGCATATTGCAAGCACCCGTATTCGGGAGAATGGCATGAGTATAACGACAGCCGAGTGTCCGTCGTGTCAGCACGATCAGTCGTTTCCAGTGAAGCCTACGTACTCTTTTACGAACAACAGCCTCACAGTTCTCACTTGTAACCTTACGCCATACCTAGAGAGTAAACAACCATCTTGCCTCTCTCGATATCTCAACTCAGCCTAGTAAAACTCTGTCTTCTGACGTATTGAAAAGCGACTAAACACTGAAAGAAACGGGGAAATCATTCGTGATCCTACCCGAACAAGTCCAACGTGACCTTATTGGCGATAATCGTGTCTCTTCCTATAATACATTTCTCGACATAGCGTCGTCATATGTATAACATCCCTTCTTCACAAAGAGATTACGCATACCTAAATCAATATAATTGATAATGTAATTGACGATCTATACGTGCTTTTGACGTGGAAAATTATTTCCATGTTTAATGTTTGGTCGGTCTGAAATTATTTATTTTTTTATGTAATATTTTGCAAGACATAATTTATACGTTTGCAATCGTGTTTGAGATAATAGATAATATATTTGTTGTTTTAACTGCATGGGAATCACAGCGATATTCTTTCTATCTAGAAGAAAATACAGAGGTACGATGACAAGGTCGCCAATGATCACACACGCAATGCTTCAGATGTCTAGTTACTTTTGAATAGACGAGTAGTAACACATCTCTGTCTTTTTTTCTCACTCTTCATTGAACACGTGGCGACATACAGCTATTTACTTTTGTAAAATATTTTGTTTATTATATATAACCACACAGTCAAGAGTTATTTATTATAATTTATGGAAAGAGAAAAATAAAATAATATATTCGATATTGATATATGCAGCTATGATATATATATTATATACATATACATATACAACGCGCTAATAAAAATTACAAAGAAACCAAACGATGATAGACAAAATATTGTATAGATATTACGATAAAAGAAAAACATTTTGTATTTTACTTCATGGAAAAAAAAAACCGCCCTGTTTGCTATACCGCCGACCGAGCTGATTCGATCGATCGCAAAACCGGATTCCGACGCTGTCGCACAGATGGCGACAGCTGGTTCGTTTGACAGTGACTCGACTGCCCATAGTGCTCACCCTTGCGAATTTATGCGCGCGAATCAAGTTCTATGCCATGCATGCGTATCCACATAGATACGTACATGCACACATATACACATAGAAGGACGTCGAGTTCCGATACAACTTCCGTTTCTTGTTCGTTCGTAGTATCTCTCTTTCTCTCTCCAATCGAGAAACCGGGAGCGGAGTGGAGTAGCGGTCTACCGACGAATTCGCGATGCGCGCGCGCGCGCGCATGTTCGATGTGCATACGCATACACACGTGTCGAGCATCGGCGAACGGAGGAATGGGAGCGGAGTGGAGCGGACGACCGGCGAAGCCGAGTCGGCCGAAGTCGGCCGGAGTCGATGTGCCGCCGCCACCGCCACCGCCACCACCGCCGCCGCCGCCACCACCGCTGCCGTCGTCGTCGCCGTCGTCGTCGCCGTCGTCGTGTGTCTCGTTTCGCGTCTCGAGCCGCGATATTCGCGTCGTGCGTCTCCTCGCGAGGTCGTCTCGCCGGCCGCCACCAGAGGGGCGACCACCCGCGAAAGAACGTCGTTGCGCGTCGAACGTGCGTGCGGCTTTCGCGCGACTCGCGCGCTCACCGCCGGGAGTCGCCGAGTGACACGCGAAACGCCGGTTTCGCGAAAAGGTCCGCCGGACGAGGACGGGAAGAGGCCGCCGTCGCTGTGTGCGCGACTACTTTTCCCGGACGCTGCATCGCGCGCGTTGCTCTCTTCCTCCGTCTCTTCCTCTCCTCCCTCCTCCTCCTCCTCTCTC